CACCTTTATCATATGAATTAAAGAATGACAATTTAGGGGTAGCTTTTAGATACGAGGTGTCTTAAACATAGTTTCAAGGTTGTACAATTTTGAAGTCTAAAGAAATTAAGAACAAAAAAAATTTAACAGTTCGTTTTTTTTCTAGACTTTGTTTATTACGTAGTTTGTTACGTTCATAACGTAACTAAGTAACTAAAGTTCTACGTTCACGTAAGTAACTAAAGTTCAGAACTTTATTTTGTCAAACTTAATTTTTTTAAAATTAATTTTGAGTGCAATCTGTAAATATAACACATGCTTAAATATTCAAAACAACACGTTATATATAGTTTGTAGTAAAATTATTTTCTTTTAATAAAAATTAACGTTTTACTTAGAAAATGATGCTCCTTTTTTTTAACTTTAATGACAATCATGAACTTAAAACAAATATACATTTAAGTTGTTAAATCTAAACTTTTTACAACTGAAATTTTAAACATGATTTTTCACAAATCTAAATATTTTTGGGAATGATCCTATAGTTAATAAGATGAAATTTTATTTATTATAATGAATTAGGTTTAGACTAACTAATTGATAGACTTGCTAGTTACATGTATAGATCTGTTTGTTAATGTAAGTCATAATTTTACTATTTATTTTGGTTGGCGGAACTAATTTTCTGGGAAACCAGTTACTAATAAAATTTATTTCATTCTTTTTTTACTGAAATTTTAACCAATTGCATAATAATTATGCTTTAAAAAAAGTTTGATACTTTTGTAACCAAATTTACGGTTATTTAAAATTATTTCTATAGATCCANATCATTCCTAGAAGAATTGGGAGCATTTTTTGCATAAACATAGCAATCATACTACTGCACAAAAATTTCATAATATTGCACGCATTGCTTTTAGAAAACTTCGCAGATACTACAAATGATAATTCAAAAATCCTGTAACTAATATTTCCTTTTTTATTGGCTTGAATTCTATTAAGATATCGAAAAATTGGAAAAAAATAATCCCTGTTGAAAAAAAAGCAATCCTACATATACAACTTGATTCATTTTGTTTAAATACTTCTGATTGTAATATTAATGGGAATAGTTTTCAAAAAATCAAACGAAATGACCTTCTCATTAACGTTGAAATATTTAAGTAAATGTTGGTGAAATAATTGCGTTGGACTTAACATATACTTTTATTTCATATTTAATTGTGTCTGGGACTCAAGACGGATGTTTATTAGAGATTTATGTTTAATAAATAAATTTAAAATGTAACTAAATATATAACCTCGAAGTAAATAAGAAGCAGTAGAATATTGATTAAAAACTTATAAATATAGATTGTTAGTATTTTTTAGCATTCCGAATGAATGCTTACATAGGCTTTCAAGTTTTTATTTTTGTTTCCTATAATTATATTCACCAAATTAGTGTATTCCATAAATAAATGTTTAAGTAAATGCTGTGTTAAAAAAATGTTTTATATTAAATAAGAAATATAAAACGATAGCTGAAACATTAAAAATTGTATACCTTTACCTCGTATAAAAATGCATGTTTTTTTAATCTTAAAATAATTCGGAACTAAATATGCCTTAAATATTTCAAAAATTATATTTTTCTCACTTTACTCAGCCAATTAAACATATTTTCAAAGGAAATACTAATTTATTATCTTTAAAAAAAATTAAGTTGTACAAAAATAAAGAAGGTAATTTAAAATTGATATTTAGAAAGTTAATTTAGATGATTAGGGATTGATTCCTGTTAAATTAATTTTTATGCTGTTAATTTTTTGTTATATCTCAAAAGCAAAGCTGAATTAATTAGTTTCTTTAATGAGCAGTTTTTATTCAAATTATTTATTGAAATGTCGATTTATTGTAAATTTCACATTGGTATACGTAAAAAATAAGTACTTTTTAATAACATCAAATTCTACGAAAATTTCTTTGAAAGTAAAGTTAGGAATAAAAATCAATGTTACTTAATTTAAAAGGGAAAGCTAAATTTTTTATGTAACTAGAATTTTAAGCAAATATGCCTTTGTCAAACTATTTATTTGCTATACACCGCATAAAAAATTGTGCTGTAGCACGGAACATTTCCGGCAGCAAATTTGCCAGCATTCTATGCCACGGAAAAACACGTTAAATTACCTCCAACACTACGGAAAATATTTGGACGAACAAGATATTTTCCGTAGGTCAGGGCACGGTGGAAAAATTTAGCATGAAGGTCTGTATACGTTCTGCTTTACATAATGAAACAGGCTTTTAAAATTTTGCTTAGTTTTTTTATTATTCTAATTTTTGCAATTTGTGAGAAATCGAAACTACTCCGTTTGAAAAATATCGTCGAAGAATTTTTTGTGCGTATTTAATCGTTAAATTCAGACATTCAAAAGCGGAATTTGAACCCAGAAAATTCCTAATATCAAGCCAACTCCTTGACCACCATACAGACAGTCCCCATCTATTTCAATGCATCAAATTATCTCTTTTCGCTTTTATTCTAGAGTTTTCCATATTCGAACAGAAAAAGTGTGTACACAACAGATACACTCTGTTGTGTAGACTTTATCAATGGTTACAGATTTTATTTGTGAACAGAAAAAATTTCTCTTTTGACTGATTACGATGTAGTTTATTAGTAAATTTCTGTAAATTTCGGGAACAATTTTATGTAGGAAAATTACAGAATATTAGGTTCTTAAAAAAAATTCTTACAGAATATTCAATGTAAAGTAATAAACAAATGAAATAAAAAAGCTAAAAAAATAATAAATTAAACATTTTTGATATTTTACTGCCTCACTACCTTACCGATACAAGAGTAAGTAAATAAAATCCTTAATCACATGAACCATATTGAATAATAAATCATCTGTCAAGATGAATCAAATCTAGTTTTTAATTCAATCATTTGAAAATCAGTAGTGATGTATTTCGAAAATTCTTCAATGTAGATCAAACATACATTCCTTGGTCCTTGTGAAGTTTATCTTTCGAAATTTATGCGTGCTGTCTTAAGAATGAAATGGAATTATAAATTCTAATCAAAATAAATTTATATTCTAAGCACCTTATGCTAGGCGTTAGCATTCATTAAATCCTTGTTGAATATGTTCCACCTGGAAGAACATAAGGCTTACTCATTCATTAGCATGACTGAGAAATATTGAGAGTTACGCGTATGGCTTCTTAGGAATATTTCAATCTTCCAATTAATCAACATGTAAGGGTTCTCTGAGTAGATATTTATTTCATGCGAGCTAGAACGTAGTACATTGAAAATGATTTGTATACATGGTGAAGCGGAATTAAGTTTATGGATTTAAGATTGAATAATGAAAATAAAAAAAATAAAAGTTTTAAAAAAATATATAAATGATGATTTTTAAAAGGATTTATGGACATGGAGTTCAGTAATCACGGCTTTCGATTGTTATATTAAAAATATTAAAATTCAAACGATATAATAATGTTTTTCAATGATATTCAATTCTATATCCTAGCAGTGGAATAAAAAAAAAAGCTGTCATAAATGGTGCCATTTTTAATTATGCTTCTCCATGTTTACCTCTAAGCATGTCCCTACATGTTTTTTACAATGATTTTAAAAACAAATCTCCCATTGATAATGATTTAAGTAAACACAATGAAAAAAATTTTAATATATAAATTATAAAATTTATAATGTGTAATAAGATGTATAATTTGTGATAAAATGTATAACGTGTAATAAAATATATAATGCTCAATAAAATGTATAATGTGCTCAACTTTTTAAGGGGAGGAGAGACACTTTTAAATAAGTTGAGATTTTCATAAAGTGGTTGATTTATTTGCTATAAATTTTTCCTATGGATCTGACTTCTAAATAAATGTTTACCTGTACGCAAAGAATCTTTTAACTGTCAACCCGCTTAAATTTTAATAATAAAATGCCACGCCGACGAGAATGGCATGGAATGTGCTGTTCCAAAGTTCGAAAAATGACAAATAAAAGTAGCCCATTAATTACTTATATCTACCTGGGCAGCTTGCAAATGACTGCTTCTCCTACATTCGTTGAGATGAGAATACTTACTGTCCCGACGGGTGAAAAATTGCAATGTTAGCATACATTGCGAAGTAGGTAAAAAAAAGTAAAATACCAAAATGTAGAGCATCATCGACTTAAACCGGATTGCTTGTGTAAAAAAAAAATCAGGGAAGCAGTCTTTCGTTTGATCATGATTCCTTTTCGTGTGACATGCCAAAAAAATCGAAAGGAAAAATAAAAAGATTTTTCAAGACACAAAATGTAGAAATACGAAGAGTGCACAAAGAGTAAAAGTTTGGTCTGGTGTACATTGAAATAGGCGATAACAATCAAAACGCTTGATATCATTTTCCATATATCTACCACATACAACTCGTACGAGGTCTGTTGCAATCCCTTCAGAGATACTAAAAGAAAATAAAAGTCTTCTTAATGGAGGGCTGTTCTATACTAACATAACAGAATACAGTAAAACCTGTTTTTGTGCGGTCCTTTTTTATGCGAATTTTTTTGTGCGATTGGTTTTGTGCGATTTTAATTTTGTGCGATTTTTTTGCGCGATTTATTTTTATGCGGTATATGAATCTTAGCGGCGTTAGCACCAGTTTAATGTTTTCTATCAAAGTACATATGCATGTTGTGGACGAACTCTGATTACGTGGTCTCCTTGACCAGTCGACCATCGTCAGAAAAACTGATCACTGACTTTATGGTACCAAAAAACACATCAATTCAAATCCTATGTTCAAGCGACGAAAGAGATTTTCAACCAATTCATTCCAAGAAGATGCGCGTTTTGGATTACGACGAGTAGCAGCAAACTATTTAATGTATAATTTGAAAACTTCTCCATGTATATGNCTATTTTAACAGAACATAATGTTTCTCTAGCGTATTTTCGAAAATATAAATTGTCATGTTGATGAACTTATTAATAAATAGTTCTCTTTTTTTACAGTTGCTAAAGCAGTGATCGAAGGTGCTCCAGACATTTATGTGAAAAGTGGAAGCTCTATAAATTTAACATGCGTCATTACCCAAAGTCCTGTACCACCTGTGTTCGTCTTCTGGTATCACGACGATAGAATGATAAATTATGATTCATCGAGGGGTCAAATAACAGTGAATAAGGCTGGAGTGGACACGGCTCTCTCGAAGCTCTTCATTAAGGACGTGCAGCCATCGGATTCTGGAAATTATACTTGCTGTCCTTCAAATGCTGAGGCTACCAGCATCACAGTACATGTGCTCAATGGTAACTTCTTTCAATAGCATACATTATCTATAGAACGTATTATAAATAACTAATTATTCATGCAAATTAAATCAAAGTTTATCAAAGTATTTATGTGACAGTGCGAATGATGCTTGCAGAATGCTTTATAGGAAATATTTTAGCCAAAGGATCATTATTTGGACGCATATTTTTGTAATTTAATTCATTAGGAAATTTCTCTTTAAGAAATCAAACTGATCGGTGCTTTACCAGCGGGTTTATTTTTGCTTTTTATTTCATTATTTTATTTTTTATACTACTATTTAATGAAATACGAAGTAATAAATTTAATAAACTACTATTTAATTAAATACGAAGCAATAAATTTAATAAACTTCTATTTGATTAAATACTATAAATTACGAAGCAAAGCTATTTAATTGAACTATTTACCTGATAAAAAATGCAGACAACGACAAATGTGTGCCGCAATGAAATGAGAAAATTTCGCTTGAAATAAGAAAATTTCGTGTTAGGCCATGGTATGGTGTTATTGAAACAGCACGAAAAAAATAATTCTGGTAAAATTAACGTACGATATGGTCATGCATTCTGGTAAAAGAACTCGCTCACTGTTGGTAATAAAGCAAAAATATACAGTATTTAAACCTTTTATTTGGTATTTTTTCGTTAATATGGTAACTGTTTACCGGAAATTCCGGTTTCCGGTTCATCACCACACATTTAGTACAAAATACAAAACTGGTGTTAAACCAATGTAAATCTGAGAAAATGTAACTGAATAAATGGGTTTTTGCCATGTCTTAAGGTATCAAGACAAAATTACCAAATTTTATCAAACCTTAAAAAATTTTATTTCGTTGTTAATTTTACCAAAATTATTACCAAATCTCTGGAGGAAAAATTACCGAGTATTTTTGGAACTCCAATGGAGCTAAAGACATGGTAAATTCTGTCACTTTTAGGAATTTTGACCATGCTTTTTTTAGTGAAGAATAAATGAGAACCAAGCATGCAAATTAACACGTAAGTCATTATTTAAAAGCGTATTTCAAGACGCATCCTGCCTTTTCTGTGGCACTAAAATATCAAACACATGAAGAAAAAAGAGTTAAAAAACTGTCCTCTAAAATAAAGCCACATTTTACAGTAGCCGATGTGGCCACCATTATAAAAATGACTTAAAATATATGATGTTGTCTACCATTTATACAAAACCCTGGAGGACATTATCATCAATATTATTCCTGGTTCCGAATATGGCAGACTCCTATTCCGCCGTAGACTGAAAATGCTCTTCCTTCGCCTTATAGCCCTGCTGAGGATTGTAGTATTATATATATTTAAAAAATTGAACTATTTTTACATAATATATTTAATATAATTACATATTAAATAAAATTCGACGTTTTACAAATCAGAACATATTTGTTATTAAATTAAAATTTTGAAACGGTGAATAAAAATGAAGATTTATCAGTTGCAGTTTTAATCTGAAATATAAATTAAAATTGATTGTACTAGTCTAAATTTCAGACGTTACGCATAAATTCTAGTTTTAAAAATATTAGAAAATCAAAATTAAATTTTAAACAACTAAATATTAGTGTAAATAAGCAAGTAGTCTTAGACTTGAAACATAAAGATTATCTTAATTTGAAATGCTACTCATTTTATAAGGTTAAAAGGATTTTAAAATATTTAGATGAAAGAAGGGTAATTATTTAATAATTACAATTTAGGTTTTAACAGTTAGTTATTTTATTTAAAATCCCTAATGTCAAGTTTTCTAAGAGCTAAATGTTTACAAATTGTTGTTTTTGTCTAACTGATTAAGACTTTCAACATTTCAGAAACAATTAGTCTTGACTCAAACCAATTCTTCCGAAATATTTCATTACGATTCAAAATCCCTTTTATCTAGAGAAAATAGAAGGAATTTAACTTTTCTAATAGTACCCAAGAGGCTTTTGAATCGATGTTAAATGTTTAAATAGATTAAGGCATTCTCTCTTATTTTTCAGCAGAAGTTTCGAGTGAATACTTGCGCTGGAAAGTAATATTGATTTCCAAATGCAACTTTTGTTTATTTCATTATTCAAATTTCCATTTTAATGATCGGAAAACTCAGACATAAATTGCAAAAGTCTGAAAGGTTCATTAATAAATGTACTTAATAACGTAGCATTAGTGAATTGTGAGTCTTTCTGTCACAATAAAGATTGGAAATAAAAATCATCGAAAAATTTATATAAAGTTTTTAATGAATGTGTTAAATATTGCAATACAATATATATATATATTACAATATNTCTATAATTTTCATTTGTTTTATCTTCATTTTAAACTTGTATATATATATATATATATATATATGAATTTGCTTTCTCTTGAGACAAAACAGCAATTTCTTTTTTAAGGGAAAAGGGTTCAAAATTTTAAAAAAATGCTTCTTTTAAAGCAAATTATTAACTATTGAAGAAGACAAACTTCTTAGTGGGTGCGATTAGTGAGTTCAAGAATTTTTTACTTGGCTTACTTTATACCACAAGCAACATTTCTCGTATTGTTGTCACTTTAAAACCATTAAAAACAATCGCATAAATTTGTAATATTTCATGTAATTTTACGTATGAAATAATTAAACGTTTAAAAATTTTTTTTTGTTATGGTGACTTTGGTGTGTTATGGTCTTATGGTGTTTGGTGTGTTATGGTCTTATGGTGTGTTATGGTTTTTTTTGTTAAGTGAGAACTTACACGGAAGTCTATTTATTTATATATGTGTTGCCCAAACAAGCTCCAACGAGTTTTTTTTATTAATTATGTATCTAATTTCTTTTTTAAAATTCATTATTCGAAACTGAGTGATAATCTGTCCAGTGATAATCTAAACTGAGTGATCATGATTGACAGTGCGATGGTTTGAATCTCATCGTTAATGCCGTAATATTTCCTCCATTTCTTCAACAAATGAAGAGTTTGCAGTCTCCTGAACTCCCCAATTTGTGATCCTGAGCAATTATAACACGATACTCTCATTCACGCATAGATGGCAGCACGATAAAGCTGCTCCTTTTTTACTGCTCTGAAACCATACTACTTGTAAATGGTTAAAAAAACCGTTTAATTTTGTATCCATGGATTTTTTATTACGCTAGCTTCAAACAAATTCAAAACATTAAAAGTACCTCTATCATAACGATTAATTGAATGGATAGACTACTGTCAGTTATTTAACCATAACTTAAGACTTAAAATTCCAGCAGTGTATAAATAGAAGATCTCAAGATATTTATAAAATTTTTTTTTGTACAATGATTTCTAATTCTAAATATCTATTTTGTAGAGAAAAAGCATTTTATTTTCTTATAAGCAAGCAAAAATCACAACTATAATTGGAAAAAGAATGAATATAAAGATTTCGCATTTAGTCTCTAACTGTAAGGGAAACTAACTTAATGAATGGAACTTTACACCATTACACACCCTACTATAAATGAATGGCTCTATTCTCGTTAAAGATGTTCTCTTTTAACAGTAGAGAAATTAATGGCTTAAAAATATCATCCCAACAAATGTTCGATTAATTTCTTTCCTTTCGGGAAACTCTATTTCTGGCAAATCGTATAAAAGTGATTAAGGACTAAATTAAGGACACAATACTTAGGAAGATTTAATGTGGGTTAGTATAACATTTAACAAAATCACAGTAATGCTATTAAAATAGTAAGGCATTTTTGAACAATTCAATACGATTTCATATAAAATTAGTTAAGTGTTGTTCGAGAATATTTTTAATTGTTTTCAGCGTAAATTTAAAAAAAAATTAAGCTTCTGCGCAGTAAAAGAATTCCAAATCATATTACCGTAGAAATAGCTTACTGCATTTTGAATGCATTTCCGATAAAATCTACTTTACAGTATAATCCATTTCACCGTAAAATTTCCTTTTACCGTAAAATATTATGCCGTAATTTTTACAGAAATATTCTTTTATGGCTGGGATAGCCTAGTTTGTAAGGCATCGGGCCCTTGTCTAAGAGTTCGAGATATCGATCCCGCAGGACAAAGACAGTAGTAACTGGTGACTGGTGCACGTTAAATTTGTCGGGTCACAGAGTTCTCCATGTTCCCATAACAAATCATACCTCTGGGGGGTCATACTTCCTTGTCTCTCAGAATGGTTCAAAATTACAAGGCATTTGTAACCGTAAGTCCTAAATTTAGCCCGGCTGTTCAACGATGGTTATAAAATAAAATTAAAAGTAATATTCATATAATTAGAGCGATTCAGTGATTTTACGGTAATTATTACCACCTGGAAAATTTCGGTATATCAAATTTCTTGTTCCGTATCAAGTAGGGTAAAAGTGAATTTTACTGTAAGAAATTACCGTCGCTCTGAATTCTGGTATTGCTAAATAGACGTTTTTACTGTCATGTGGTTTTGTCACTTGGTGGTTTTGTTGCTTAATTTGGTGGGAAGTTTCTTGCTTACATTTCGCTTCATTAACTGATAATAAGAGGAAACTGATGGTTCAATGCAGTGAATACTACTAGTCTAAATGCTAGTTTCTACGCGGAACAAAGATGATCATCAACATTTAAGAGAGAGAAAATAGTTAAAACCCAAAAATGTCGGAAAAACTTTATGTGCATAAATACAGCTCATTCGACTTGTCATAAATACAGCTCATATAATTACTTACATAACGTTTTCTTTTTATTTAGTGTTATTGCCATAATTGAACATCTTATTTATATGGAATTGAAAAGACACAGATTCCTTCACATTCACTTCTTGTAATTTTCACGTATTCTGGTGACGAGTTAAATAGTGTAATTAAACTTAAATTGAAAATCAGGAATAAAATATATTTGCCAAGATCTATTTTAGATATTCCGCATTATTTTATATTACACATTGAGGAAGAACATGAATATTTTCGTGGCTAGGGGAACTATATGACGAATAATTCATACTTCATATACACCTGTATGAATCTAAATCTCTTATGTGGTCAGTTCAGGGCCAGAGTAAAATTAGAAGATCTGCTGTTGGGATTTACGCCTGAGTCAGTCGGGTTTTAGAAAAGTAACTGATGCCCTAAACCCGGGCTTATAGTTCAAAACGTACTGCCTAGACTAAACTTTTTGCTCAGCTCTATTTTCACTAAAAGTATGAACGATTTGCAAAATATTAACAAATGCTGTAAACGGAACTTTTTTGGTATCCAAAACCATAGGAAAATGCAGAAACTGAAAGTTATGAACAAATTTAATGCAAAGTAATATAAATATTAGCTTAAAATAAGGTTAAAATAAAGTCTCAATGGTTTCAATATCATCCATATATCATTGAAATAGGAAAAATATCAGAAAAGTAAAGCATCAGAAATGTCATTTGTCAATTGCAGACCTAGTGTCAAATTCGGTAATTCTCAGACTTTATTATTTTTGGTCGAACTCTGCAACAAAAATGTCAAATTCTCAGACTGTATTTAAAGACTCTGTTACAGAAGAGTCAAACTCTGTCGCTTCCTCACTAACCCTACATGGAAACAAAAGATTCAAGAAAAACTATCGCAGTGTACGGTAAAGAAATTTCTGGTAAAGAAAAAAAAAGCATAATGAAACCAAAACGTACGGAAATTAAACCATTCATATGGTAATGGTTTACTTGAAATCTAAATTTTGAAAACTATGGTTTTTATTATTACACAATTAGAAAAAATACGAAACTGAAAAGTAAATTTAACAGAATAAGTCGTTTTTAGGCCACGTTTTGATGTATCATGACTAAATTTTACCAAATTTACCAAATGTTACCATATGTTATAAAATTACATTTTATTGTTAGGTGATGGTGATTATCAAAGTGCCCGTAAAAATTATTGTGCTTTTTGGTGTTCCCAAAGAGCTGAAAACACGGTAAACTTTACCATGTTCTTGTCGTTTTAAACATACTTTTTGTCAGTGTAAATTACCAATGGCGAGGTGGCCGGTGAAAATATCACACCCTAACTTAAAACATCTCTGGAACATATTTATACCTATATTCAAACACAGCGACATTAGAAAACAATAAATATAAATGTGTTGAAATACACCAGCAGGAGGTACCTGTAGAAGAAATTAGTTTGCGCATTTTAATAATGCTTTTTGTTTAAATTATTTTGAGTTACTTTATTACGAGAATAAATTTAATTACGCATTAACAAAAAAGTTAAAATTCAGCTGTTATATGACAAGTAGACTAACTGAAAACTGGCATAGATTTTCAACTAAATTATAAAGAACAATTCTTATATTTCTGTCTATTTACCACGTACCTTCCATTTAAACATTTTCTGGTATCCAAGGATCATTAAATAATTTTTTTTTTTCAGAAACATTTTTCGTCACGTCTTAACGTAATAGGTCTCTAGATTCTGTCCTAGTCTAAAGCAATTATTATTCGCAGCAAGAAATCATTAATTTTAAACTATTACTAATGGGAGAAAACACCATTAAATTTTTGACTTGGTTTTTTTGCGGAAAGAAATAGTTATTGTTTTAAAAATACTTTTCAAACTGTATCTCAATTAGTCATTTTTTTTTCTCATCTTGAAAGCAGGTAAAAATTAAAATATTTGAAAAAATAAATAGTTTGTTTAGACAAAATTATTGTATTTTTTTTTTTTTTTATGTCTCCGAATTTTAGTTAGGTTATAAATAAAGTGTTGATTACATTTTATGGCCTTGCATTTGAATAATGACTCTTAAATTAAATTTTGTAACATTTTATTTTGTTTAAAAGTAAATTTGCTTGGCATGCTTATTTTTATTTTGCGCCACTTGCTAACTTAGATTTAATTACGTTGATTCAATACTAAATTTCGTCTTTTAGTGTATTATTAATTATTGAATCCATTTAAAAATACCAAATATTGTTTTCTAATTTAAGACCGTACTACTAATGTTTTATAAAGTACTTTTATAAGGTATTGGGAAAAATTTGAATTCGTGGAGAACTTTTTGAGGGAACGTGGAGAGGAAAACCACCAAAATCTCCCATGGTTACCCTGACGGCAAGGGGACTTTATATATANGAAAAATATATATATATATATATATATAGAGAGAGAGAGAGAGAGAGAAAGCATTATAAGAAAATAAAATATTTTAAAATATTTTTCTTAAGCAAATTACAGAAATTCAGTTAAAAAAAAGTACTAAACCAATTAATTTAATGCTTACTCTGCGCTGTATGGTAAGTAACCTGACGCTAGATAAAATACTTTCCATGTAAAAAATTTTATTAAAATGGAATTAGATTTGTAGGAAGGAATAAGTGTAATAGTTTTAGATGTAGCTTCAAAACTAGCTATAAGGAGTGCAAAAAAAGTGAAAAACTCTAAAATACGAATAGTTTTAATCAAGAGGGAGGTTTTTTTTTTTTTTTTTTTTTTATTTATTTGGGGGGGGGGGTTCCAGACACTCACAAAATTTTGCCTCGATTTCGAAGAAAATTAGTTGAGGGGAGAGTTTAGAATGTCCTTAAATGGTGAATCTTCCAAGTCTCCGCTATCTTTCCTAGGGCAAAAAATTATTTCATCCATTTAATTTCTTTTGAGGGGGAATGCAAATAAAACGCATGAATAAAAATTTAACGCATGAAGAGTGAGGTGTAGCAGGGAGGGATAATTTCCCCTTAAATTGTAGGAAAAAAAATCTCTCTTCTTTTTTTTCTTCAATTTTCTCACTTTCTTTAAAGATATTCAATGTTTATTCAAACTATAATTTCCAAAACATAATGAAACAATAAAAATAGTTAGCTGAAATATCGGCCAATAGCGGTTGAGAGGAATATAGGTTATAAAGTTCTCGTACCATTTAAGTTTTTGAAAAGTGTTTTTAAAAATATGATTATTCCTCTCTTTCTGTCAAAGTTGTTACTAAGTATTGTCATTAGATAAAGGATTTTTTGGGATGGGCAAAAGGGAAGAAAAATGATTTATATCGTTCCTCTCCACAGAGCACGCCACTTATGATTTCTAAAGAATTACAGAGTAGTGAACGCTCTAGCGGAAAAATTAGGAAGCTTCTTTACATGGAAATCCATGTTGATGAATCAAGTAGTTTTATACATGTGTTAAGTTCCTGTTTCGGTTAATCGGTTACATTAAAGCGAGCCGTGATGGCGCAGGGGATAGAGCTTTCGCCTCCCAATGAGGCAAACCAGGATCGAATCCCGGCGATGGCCAGTCGATAAGAATCCGCATCCGGCTTGCACCGGTCACAGTGATGACGTGAAATATCCTCAGTGGTAGACGGATCAGGGATTAGAGTCCCCTTGCCATCAGGCTAACTGTAGGGGGTTCTCGTGGTCTTCCTCTCCATGTAACGCAACTGCGGGTTAGTTCCATCAAAAAATCTTCCGCGAGGACAAACTTCTCTCTATACTTGATCCAGGAGTTCCCTTGTCTTCTGGGTTGGGTTCGAAATTACAAGGTTGCGGAGTTGAACATTGGAAGTCGTAACCCAAAAAATTGGGTATGCTCTTCAACGACGGTTGTAAAAAAAATCGGTTATACTGGTTTTCAATGAATGTGATAATTGAGCATCCTGTGTAAGTATATTCTAAAACTAAAGTGATGTACAGTGGGCCAAAAAAATACAACTGTTCACCCTGAATAACTTTTAATCTAATGATCAGATCATCACGTTATAGGACTCAATTTTAATGGTTCAAGGGGGTGAGCTCGATAATGCTACTTAATTGGTGCAGATGATATTTTAAAATACGAAATCAGTCACAAAAACGTACATTCTCTGAAGAAACATACTCTTCTTTCGATGCATTCAGATATCTAACCCTAAAATATAGGAGGTAGTCACAATCTGGAAAATTGATCCCTGTTTTTTTGGTCAGAAGAGAGATCCGAAATTTGGACCCTTCACTGCTAATTTTAGTTTTTGAGTATTTCGCCTTTTCTCGTTAATTCTTGAAGTGAATTGAAATTTTTCTTGCACACAATAATAAAAATTTGCTTATCCATACATAATTCAATGCTAAAAATATTTTTTAATAAATATGCATAGTTTTTTTATTATTTTATTCAATTAGTGTCGAAAAAATTTTCTGATGTAAGACATACATTTTTTATATCATTTTAAAAAAGCGTAATTTTATATTAATCAGCTCCTGAGAAATTGAATTTTAAAAAGTCGTATAGTTAAAATTCGCTTACGATGTGGCACTAATTAATTAACACATTTAGAGTTTACCCTAGAACTATTATGATCGAGTCCTACACGCTTGAAATTTACAATACTTTCGTAACATTATGTTCCACTTACATTTTATAGGTTATTTATACTCATAACTGTTAAAAACACTAATATCACATTTCTCGATTCGTAGGTAAGACGAATTGGGCGACCGGTTTCATAAATCATACCACTTGCAGACCTTGTGGAAACAATTATAGTGCTTACTGCCCAAATATTATTACCGAAAATATAATTTAAGTAGATGAATATTTGCATTCCTAAACTAAAATATTTCAATTATAATTGTCCACAATTTGTAACTTGCAAAAGGAAAATGTGAAAAGGGAACATAAGAGAATTAATTGTTTCCAAACCTTGTGGAAACAATTAATTTTTAGTGCATACGTCACAAATATTATTGCAGAAAAAGTAATTAAAGTGGATGAATATCCGCATTCCAAAATTAAAATATTTCAAATATTATTGTACGTAATTTGTGAATTATAAAAACGTAAATGTGAAAACTTGTGCTATTTAAATAACTCTTCTCTATGCATTTGATTTTCAAAATTACTCTATTTTGCAGGAGAAAAGCCAGCTGCGATGCAGCATGACGCCAATCCAGGATATTCCTTGTCTTGTCCATCCCAGCCTCATCGAATTCTTCAATGGCTCATAGTACTTTTGTGGTTTATACTCAGGTGACCGACTCATATCATCAACTGAAACCAAAAAAAAAAAAAAAAAAGAAACACTCAAAAGCCGAACTTGGCGACAGACTCAAACTTCATTTTATTTTGGGTTTTGTTCTAACTGAGAGTGAACCAGATTTGGAACTGTTTCTAAAATGCAACAGATTTTACCACAACTCGGAAGTGACAAAGTTGCCATTTTAAGAAACTTGTACTGAGTTCTTATGTATTTATTCAATACGTTGTAGAATAAAATATAACTCCGGATAAATCTTCGTGACGTACTAAAGATGAATCGCTCGAGGTAACGATGATATTCAACAAGGTGCTTTAGGTAAATCACTCAAAAACATTGATGTGTTGAACGTTTATTTTCCCTTTAAAGAATAAGGGAGTGTTGAATTGAAAGTGAAAGTTACAATTACTGCTCATCTTTAAACTTTAAGTTTTGTTCGAGAGACAGTAATATGAGAATACAATCAAATGTATTGTTTTCTTTTTTTTTATTCGATATAAAAAAACAGATGTTTTTTATCTATTTTGTAAAAAGAAATTTAAAAACATCTAATTGTTACTTATTTAAATAATTTTTACAGGAGAAATTTGAGCAATTTAAGCGAGTGATGCTTGTGCATTGTTACTAAAATATTTTCGGAATTGAAATAAATTGTGATGCCAAACGTAATCACTCATGAGCATTTTTTTGCAGTCTATTAATTATTAGAAATTTTATATTTTGTTAATAATATATTATTTATTAAATTTTAAACTTATTATTAAATCATATATTATTGAAGAGATTAAAAAAGTTCTTAGATTCAAACTGGACATTGTCTCTAAATTTAAGAAATAATAAACAAAAATAATAATTGTGTTCGAAATTTTTTTAAAACTTCTAAATATTCTTAAACAAAAACATCATGACTTTTAAAAAAGATAATTAATAACCTGTGGTTTGCAAAATGTTAAAAACGTTTTAAGTTAAACAAATTTTATAAAATGAAATTTTTAATTTTAATTAAAATAAAATAGTTTAATTACATATATGTTACAACAATGTAATAACTAATTATAATGAATTATTTATATAAAACCGGTTGTGTAATAATTAAGAACTTGTTTCGAATTGACTGAAAAGGTCTCATCGATTTGTTCTATNAGATTTGTGGAATTACACAAATGTGGGAAAAGGCACTTTTTTTTCCTTTGAATCTTTCTAGCAATATACGAAATGATTTTTAAACAAAATTCTCTAATATTCGTCGTTCCCTTTATTAGGTTTTAAAAAAGTAAAAAATAAATGAAACATGAATTAATGAAACATTCCCAAGTTTTTCGAGATAAATAATAGTGACACTAACTCACAAATCCAAAATAGTTTTAAAAAAATATTTTATTTATACAAAATTATTTTTTGTCCTAAAATAAGCGGTTGTTGATGTAACCAACTATTTGGAGGATGAAAGTGTTATAAATGGCTGAAACCAGAAACTTTTAGCCAGTAACATATATACTTGTCTATGATGAAAAATAACTTATTTTAGATTTAAAGAACTGAGTGATTTTCTCTAGTCAAGACTTCATCGCTCAAGGACTTATGAAGAGATTGTTAATGTGCATCGTACGTTTATGTTGCATGTAATGGTTCATAATGTATAAAATATGAATAAAGTATTAAACTGTTCATTTTAAATGGTGCATTTGTTTTTTTAAACCTACACTGTTTTTCTCATAGCACATATTTATTTAATGATCCTAATAACATTTATTTAATTCTCAGGTCTAATTTTAAACACAAAGAAAGAACTTTGTGCTTGAACTTAGACATTTATTAATATTTCCTTTTCCAAATATGCGGTTGTTGATCAGACCAAATATTTGGTGGATGAAAGTGCTATAAATAGTTGAAACCAGATACCATTAGTCTGTGACATATAAATGTCTACGCTGCAAAAGGATCTGACTGATTTTCTCTAGTTAAAACTTCATCACTCAAGAACTTATAAAGATATTATTAATGTACAACGCACGTTTATTTTGCAGATACTGATTCATAATGCATACAGTAACACTAAAGTATAATACGATTCATTTTAAATATTGTATTCTTTAAAAAAAACACAGTTATCCTCAAAGTACAACTTCATTTAATGATTCTAATGATCTTTATTTAATTTTTCCAAGCTCAAACAAAGACAGAACTGAAGTAAATCTCTAAATTGCTTCTTTTTTATAATTAGTTGCTATGCATCATAAAAATAGTAAGTAAAATAGCAATGTTTTTAACAACGTCTGCACGGAGAAAACAATTTTGGAAAACTTACGGTATTTCATGGTAATGAGATTTATAGGGGAAAAAACATAATTCTGAAGTTAAAACATTAATTTGCGATATTTCCATTCACTGATCACTTTTCCATTCATATTATAACAGTTTATCGAAAATTCTGGTTTTTAAAATTATAGTCTTTATTACCGGTCGGGAAAGGGCCGGTATACCCTAGTCGGTAGGGCGCTGGGCCCATGCCCGAGAGTTCGTGGGTTCAAACCCCGCCGGCCAAGGACTCCCCGTGTAGTAAAGTGACTGATGCACGTTAAATCTGTCGAGTCGCATAAGTCCTCCATGTTCCCATGACAAATCAATACCTCTGGGGGTACTGGATTGGAGATCGATCGTTCTCTGATTCACGTCAAAATTACGATCTGTGGATGAATGAATGGATGTATGAATGGATCCGCCCTATGACGCATGTGTGGCGTTTGGTGTGACGTATGGTGTGGCAGAAGTCGAATTCTTGACCATAGATGGCGCCACTGGAAAGCAAGAACAATTGCACCCCCTCTGCCTAAACAGGCATACGTCAACAATATTACTACAGATTTTGTAAAATAGAACAGAAAAACAGAGCTGAAGGCTAAATTTAACTGAATAAATGGTTTTTACGCCAATCTCTAAAGAACCATGATGAAATTACCAACTCATTAGCCAATTTTTATCATATAATGTAAAATTATATTTTATTGTTAATTTTACCAAAATCATTACCAAAGCGATTGGGTTAAAATTATCGAGCTTTTTGGTGTTCCCAAAGAGAGAGAAGCATGGTTAAGTTTACTTTCTTCTGATACTTTTAACCATATTTTTTCTCAGTGTATAAATAAAGTGATTTTGAGAATGTGTATTTAACACGTGTATCTGTTTTAAAAAAAAGCCAAATTTTAGTCGTCAGTTTTCTTACCAACTCTTGAAAACCAACAATACAATCTTTGAATAATATTTTGTGTTTTCACATTTAATAGCATACATAATAAAAACTTAATAAACATTAAATAACCCGGCCCCCCTAACAGAGGGAATACGGAGAAGTTTTCCATAATTAATAATTCATTTTTAAGAATTACTTTCTAATGTTCTAAAAATATTACTAAAAATTACTTTCAAATGTTCTGTCTGTAAAAATTTTGTTTTATTTAAAAATGTCAAAATTTCAAGAGACTCTAATGCGAAGTGCAGAATGTCTAATAAATGAAAAGATTAATTCCTAATAATAATTAATTTATTAAGGAAACATAATTAATGATCGCAACCTTTTTTTAATTTCCAGCTAATTAAATAATAACTAAATTATGCATAAAAGTTAATTAAAAATGTAACAAATCTAACAAATTTCTTCTGTCTGTTGTAAAACATTTTTATTTGAAATAACTTGAAAAAGAAATGTCTTATATGTTTAATTAAACATTTGATAACCTGCTGTTATTGACGAATATTATTTTTTTAGAAAAGTTCCCAAAGAGGGACAATGAACAATCTGTTAAACTATAATTTTTGTTTGAAAATAATAAACTTATTTTGTGTGTAGTTTTTGCATTCTTTTTTAATAAATAAGCTCAATATTTTAATGATATCCAAGAAATGTTAATTTGGAGTTTATATTTAAACTTAAATAAGGCAATTTATTGTTTAATTTTTCAATTAAAACCTTTATAAATCTGCAATTTGAATATACAAAAAGATTTTAATTGCAATTACTTTGTAATTAATCGTAACGCATCAGAATTTCCAGAATTTCAATTTCTGTATAAACAATTAAAATCAAAAACTGGATAAAGACGGAAGTATAATTTCGGAAGAATGTGCCCAAAATAATCTTAANTTAACACATTATTTAGCATATATATATATACACTATATATATATATATTTTCACTGTTTGTTAATTGGTAAGTATAATTATTAATAATATTATATTATTAATTGCAGAAGTTGATTGAGGAATTGAGGAAATGAGACTATGTTACATATTTTCTAGAGACAATGTGCATTTATTATTGGAAAAAACAATTCAAATATCTACAGTTCAAATATAGAGAATGATAAAACTGAAATTGGACGATTTCCAAACAGCAATGATGAAGATTTCTGAGTCTTCTTACCAAAATGAAACCTAAATAAGTACCTCAGTAAGATGTGTGATTACCTATCGCACTGATGCACATTTTACATCTGTTATTCATGTTGTCCACTAAGCTATCAAAGAGTCCTTGGGGGACATTGTCCCACTCCTCTCTCACGGTGGTGTTCAGCTCTTTCACGGTTTGGAAAGGGTGCGTTCTTTAAGAGACATGTCTGTCATGGACATCCTAAATATACACTATAGGCTTAGGTCTGAGGAGTGCCCAAGCAATAGCATAATGTCAATATATTGATTACTTGTGCTTCGAAACTACATCACATTAAGTGTGTGCCCTGCATTGTCGCCCATAAACAGATATTATTGGCCTACCACTCCCTTAAAAAGACGTACATTATCTAGAATAATCTCTGTGTGATACCTCTGTCCTGTAACATTACCTCGCTCAAAGATGTAAAGCAGTGCTCAGCCACTGTGCGTAATGTCTGCATATACCAACGCGATGGCCACAATGATCACGTTCATGGACTTTTGTAGTTCCCCCTGTAGTTCCCCCACTCTGACCGGTAACCAAAAGAGCTAGTCACAGTGTGGTCTTCCCCTGTAGTTCCCCCACTCTGACCGGTATCCAAAAGAGCTAGTCACA